TCATTTGTGATCAAATTAGAATCTGGGTCTTAGGATTTGAAAGACAAATGCATTAATCCCCTGAAAGATGCAGTCACTCTCTGTCAATTCTAATCAAGTGAAGGCATTGCTCATTTTGCTTCCAGGCAATTGGAGGGGTTGGGTTTTTTTTGTTTTTGTTGTTGCTGTTTGTTCGTTTCTTTGTTTTTTAATATGGGGAGCTGGGCTTTTTGTTTTTGTTTATTTTGTTTTTGTTTATTTTGTTTTTCAGGTAATAATGCACCTATTACATGTAAAATAATGCAGGATTTGGTACCCTTGTATGTCCTTTCAAACTATCATGGTTCTCTGTAATTTGCAGAAATCCTTTGTGGCCGTCTGTACCAGAGAATAAATGGGATACAAAATTCTGCTGTTTTTGCTAAAACAAGGGTGGGGTGAGGTTATTATTATTTTGAGTAGCTTGGAAGATTTGTCACTTTAAACAGATGATTTAATTTCTCTTGATTTGAAAGAGTTTATCTTACTATCCTGAAAGGAAATTTGGGAAAAAGCTGTGTGTGTAACTGTTTTCTGCATAGATCTTGGGTAGGAAGTCTTTGTTTTTGTAATGCTTTCTGTGCAACAAGAATGATATATTGAGCTGATCTAAAAGTTAACTAGTTACTTTGTATTGTCCAGGCAAGATAGTAGGATGAATAAGTTGTATTGTTTCATGTTGTTTTGTTTGTATGTCTATTTGTTTATATCTAGAATTTCTGGGATAAAAATTACCATGTTTTCTAACACCATCAAGTTAATGAAAAGTAATCACATATAGAGTCTCTCAAATGCCCTTAAAATACATGCAGTGTTTCTGTTTTGATTATCTATGATACGCTTCACAAGTGAACTGACTATTGTAATATTGAGTCTTCTGTTCAAACAGATGTGTTTTGCTGAGAATGTTTTTAGTTATCCTAGGAGAGGTCAGGCTCAAATGCTAGTCAGGCACCTTCCCAGGGCAATGGGATGTGCAATCTGTGCTTTGTAAAGGCTGGTATTTGAGCTGTAGTGGTTCACAGACCAGGAACCCCATGTAGAGGGAAGGTAACAAGAAAACATGCAGGTATGGAAGCGTACCATCCTCTTCTATGCTGGGAGATGTACTTATATATTTCTTTGTTTTTTTTTCTCCAGCAAAGTGGGTGAAATAGTGGTTGACAGTTCTGATGAAGCGTGAGGAGGACCTGACTTGCGAGTAGGCTTTCATAAAAGATTTCATTGTTCCCCTTCCTTTCACCTACAGGCATAATCTTTGCCTCCTGATACAGAAAGAGATCTGAGATAGATTATGCTTTCTTGTTTTGGGCAGTGGGCAATAACGTTCATCTCCTGTTCATCTCAAATCTTCCACTTTCATGTCTTCAGAGTCATCACTTTAGCGGTTAGGATGCAATGAAATGCCAGGTCAGAAAATAGAAGCCACTGTGTCCCTGACTTTTTATACTGCTTAAACAACATAAGGAGAGTGTCTGAAGCAAGATGCAGATTTGATTAAAGCTTGTCACGTTGACTATTCCCAAACTGTCTTAATTAAGAAGTGAAATCTTTCTCCTTACTTGGCAGAAATAAATCTCTGCCCACTGCCTCATATCATGTGGAAATTACAATCTCCCTTACTATGTTTTTTTTTTTAATGGTCTTTTAAAAAACTGTTGTTTTTTAGCTAAGTTTTGTTGAGTGATCACTAAAAGCAAGAGGAAATTGAATGAAAAGGGAGATCATAGTGTAATAATTGCAACACAGCAGTGTCATTTCAGCTTCAGTAGGTAATATTCTATGAGGTGTGGAAAATGGGGCAGTTCTTTCTGTGTCAACTCACTGTACTATACTGGACAGCAGTTATTTTACACAGAGTACATTATATTGCAATAGAATTGTCTGTCCCAGGGACTTGCTGAAGTGTAAAAGGCAACTTTTCTTTTTTTCTTCCATTGTATTTAACTGCCTCTATTTTCACAGCCAGATTTCTTTTTTTTTTTTTGCCAGTCCTCCCTATGCTCCTTGCTCTGTTTGCCTGTGGCTTCTGTCAGGGGCTGCAGTGCCAAGTCTGACTGCTATCACTCTGGCAGCATCCAGCTCACTGCAGTTTTCCATGCACAGAAACAACGCTGCCTCTCTCTTGTTTGTCTCTTTTGTTAACAGTCATAATGGAAGCAGCTAGGCTAGTTTCTATTTCTCCTTTTCCACTTCTTATTAAGACTGATGGCTTCAGTCCTAAAAAGCACTGTATTTGCAATTTGCAGGTTAAATATTGTAAAATCAACAGGAAGCGAGATGAGTCAGTGCTGTACATGCTGTCTTTCTGTAGACTACAATGTGTGGGATTTATTAGAAATACAGAAAGTCTCCTGACATCTGCTTCTAAAAATATGGTTCTGATGTATGTTCTTAACCACCAAGGCAAGGTGGCTGGAGAATGGAATGAGAAGGAATGGCAGTGCTGTTCTGTTCCTACCTCATTGCCCCAGAGTTCTGTGCAAAACAGTCTAGAGAGATTCGTGTGATTTATTACCTACTGATAATAGACCAGAGCTGTGAGAACTAAAAGCAAACTACAAACACCTTCCTCCTATCCACCCTTACCTACCTTTTCCCCACGAGTGACACATGGGAATGGGAAATGGGGACTGAAATCTGTCTGTAGTGTTTGGTTTCTGCCACTCCCTCATGGTCACTCTCTGCCCATGTTCCACAAGGTTCCTCCCATGGGATGTTGTCCTTCCCAAACTGATCCTGCGTGGACTTCCCATGGGCTACAGCTCTCTTAGCACTGCCCCAACACGGCTCCATACCACAGGGCCCACCCTTTGGGCATTGCTCCCCAGGAGTGCAGCTCCCCCAGCCCTCCCACCCCACTACAGGCTGCTCCCCACAGGTTGCAGCTCTGGTCTGGCTGCTTCTCTGGGGGTATCCATGGCTGTGGCTCCTTTGGGCCTCATCCACCACTGCACTGTGGGCTCCTCTGTGACTGCATGTGGAGATTCACTCCATGTGGTGCTTGTGGGTGCCTGGAACTCCTCTTGCTCTCCTTCTGCACTGACTTCAGCATCTGCCCGGCTGTTAGTAATGGAACGGTTAACAGTTATTTTCTATCTATTGCTATAGCCAGAGATTAGTCTTCATAAGGAGGGCAGAAGAAAACACTGAGAAAATGAGGAAAGAGACATTACTGTAGTCACTTCCATCCTTCCTCTGTGGCAAAGTCATCTTTTAATCCTGAATTTCACTGGTTCCTCAGGCTGAATGCTCTTTTGACATAGATCCAGGACTTTATATAGCAAATTCTGGGCCCTAGAGTATGTGCAATGCTAGAGTGACTCTAAGGCAGTTTAAAAAAACCCTGTTGTCTCCAGTACAGAAGCGTAGACTACTCTAAGCTGAGCATTCTGAACTGTTCTATCTAGTATTTTTTCAATAATGTTATTACTTTTTTTTTTTTTTTTTGTCTGAAACACGTCAGACAGATATGCGTCAAATAGGAAAGTTATTTGACACCATATACTTTATATAAAGTATATATAGCGGGAGATTTTTATGCCAAATTTTAAAATAAGAAATCTGTTAACTTTATCAGCATTTGCCAAATTTATGTGTCTTCCATTTGGAGAAGTTCTCTTCTTTTTAAAACACTTCTTAAAAGTGTTTTTACAAACAGTCTAGTCTCAAGACTCAAATGCGTACAAAGTAGGTTTGCAGGTGATACTAAATTGGGAGGAGCAGTTGATTCCCTTGAGAGTAGAGAAGTCTTGCAGTGTTCTTGAGAAATATAGCGACATGGTTATTGGATGTTATTGGTGACGGACCTACTGCTGGACTAGATGACCTTAGTGGTCCTTTCTAGCCTTAATAATTCTATGATTGGAGGGGTGGGCAATCAGCAACCACACGAAGTTTAACAGGAGCAGTGCTGGATTCTGCATTTGGGACAGGGCAATCTCTATGTATAGCCCTGGAGGATGCAGGAGAGCAGCCCCATGGGAAAAGTCTGGTAGTTCTGGCTGAGAGAAAGTTGAACATGAGCCAGCAGTGTGCCCTGGAAGCCAAAAGGGCCAACCATACCCTGGAGTGTATCAGGCACTGCCAACAGGTGAGGGGAGGGTTTTTGTCCTGTTCTGCTCTGTGCTGTGTGGCCTCACCTCCAGCACTGGGTGCAGGTTTGGGCACCAAGATATAAGAAGGATGCAAAACTGTTAAAGAGCATCCAAAGGATTTAGATAAAGGATCTGGAGGGTAAAATCTCTGAGGAGCAGCTGAGGTCCCTTAGATATCTTCAATTTAGAAAATATAAGGCTGGGAGGAGGCCTCATAGTGGCTGCAGCTCCTCACAGGGAGCGGATGGGCAGCGCTGAGCTCTGCTCTCTGTGAGTGCAGCAGGACCTGACAGAATGGTATAGTGCTGTGGCAGGGGAGGGTCAGGTTAGGAAAATGTTCTGCACCAGAGGGTAGTCGAGCCCTGGAACTGGCTGCCCAGGGCTCTGGGCACGGCCCCAAGCTGCTGGAGTCCAAGGGTCATTTGGACAGTGGCCTCAGACATAGGGTTTGAATTTTGGATGGTGCTCTGAGGAGCTGAGAGTTGGACTCAGTGATCCTTGTGGGTCCCTTCTAACTTAGAATATTCTATGATTCAATGAACGGTGTTGAATGTTTGGTTATATTGCTGCTGCGGTCACCGATCATTGTAAGTAAAATGCTTTTTGGGGCATTACTGGATTGAGTTTGGGCTACCTGATATATTTTTTTGTACTGTTTTGGATTGTAGAACTGGAATGTGGAACTTGTTCAGCTTAATGAGTCTCTATACAAAGTAATGTGATTTTTTTAAACTATTTTCTTTAATTCCTTTAGAATGAACATATTGTGTTTCTGCTATGTGATGCAGATAAATGCAGAGAAAATAATATTTAATGAATGCAATGCCTAAAATGATGATGAAATTTGTTTAGTTTGACTCCTTCTGTTTGCTTCATCCTCCTCAGACAAACGTGTCGATGATTGGCCCTTGATGCAGTCTCCATTTCCAACACTGACTATAAGCACTATTTATCTCCTCACTGTTTGGCTGGGCCCCAAATGGATGAAGACAAGAGAGCCCTTCCAGTTACGTTTCCTGTTGGTTGTTTACAACTTTGGAATGGTTCTACTCAACTTCTTCATTTTCAAAGAGGTGTGTATGCACTCTTACAGGACGGAGTTCCTACTAAGGTTTGAAGGCATCTACAGATGCAAAATTAAAATAATCTTATGCGTTTTATGTCTGTTGCAAGGGGTTTGGCCCAGATTTTTAAAACGGAATTTGTGTTTCACGTGAGCATTTAGGTAGTTAGGTACATTGTGATTTGAATAAAATACCTAGATGGATATGTATAAGAATTTGTACACTATCTAGACCAAGATTTTCTTAGTTAACGTAAATACTGGGGAGAATAACTGGAATCCACAAAGATTTAAGGGGAATTATTTAACAGTTTGGAAATCATTTTTCTAGAATAGTGATTCAGAATACATATGATCCTAAGAAGTAGTTTTTGTTACGGTGATTTTGCTCATGTGGGTTAAGGGTCTTCCTGAAAGACTGTGGATCCTGAAAGATTGTGGATTTACAAGATGTATTTCCAGAAATAAGGAAACAGATAACATGGTTAAAATTACAGAATTTCTTTTCAAGAAGGCCTGTTCAACACTTTTGCCAGGAAAGCGGGATTTTTCTTTATATTGACCTTTCTCCAAATCCTCGTACTAGTTGATTTTTTTAAGTCATAATTCTTTGCCGTAGCACCTCAGTCATAATTTCCTCTAACTTATCTCCTTGCACTATTCAGATGTGTAATAAGATATTGCAGATAGCCCAGAATTTAGTGCTGTCACCTAAAGATAATTGTGAAAATGGATAAAATTGATGAGGCATCTTGGCAGGTTAAAACTGAAATTCCTCTGAAATGAGTTCACTGCTTTTTTTTTGTTTGTTTTTTTTTTTTCCTGTATCTGTCTCTTTCACTTTTTTCTTAATGAGTCTGTATTATCCATAAGCTGAAGTACACCAAGCTTATGGTCAGTTCATATTCAAAGCTCTGTTGCTTATAAGATAATAAATGTATTTGTGTAGCATTGCCAAACCACTGAATTCATATACAAATGAATGTAACTGCCCAGCTGCAGACAGAGGTTCTAATTTCCTGCTATTTCAAATGGGTCCAATTGATTATTCAATGGATGTTAAACCAATCAAGCTGTTCATACAACACTTGTAATAAGAAGTGGCTTTTCTCAGTCTTAGGGACTGATACAAGTATTCAAGTTTCAAATATTGTCTTTAGCCAGGCAACTTCTACTTCAGTCCATATGAGGTTTACATTACCTATGTGCTCCTGTTGTAATTGTCATGAGTAATGTAGTTGATACAGCTAAAATGATACTCTATTTGTATTTTGTGAATGGCTGAAGTTTCTGTGTATTGCTAAGAATAGGATTTGAATGTGAAGTGCTTTTGATAAGATCCATAGATTTTGTTTTTAAATTTAAATGTTATTTAAATATTCATCCTGGTTACTAAGCTCATTGTTCAATTTGATAACATAGATTAAAATGATGAATCATAAAATGCTGCTACATTTTTCAGTCCAAAACTCTCATATATTGGTCTCAACTTTAGATTGAGATTCAGATGCAAATTTATCTTCAAACACTCAGAAGTCTCAGGCGCAGAGCCCCATTTTGCCACAGAATCATGTATTTCTTACTCCATTTTGAAGAAGTAGCTTCAGGCTAGGGAAGTAAATTTATTATTGCCTTTGCCAAGTGAACTTTGGAGAAATTACCTAATTATCACAGACCACAGTAGAAAATGGATAGTCTCTGTAACGATGCACACAAAGCTATTCTGTAGTTCTCTGATATGTTCGGATGTGCTCATGCCCATGTGGAACCACAGGAAGAATAGTGGTTTTACAGTAACTTGTAAACAAGCTTTGGTGACACAGAAATAGTTGAATTTCTTTCTTGAGATCTTTGATTGTTTTAGAGATGTTTTTGCATTAATTTTCTATACTGTAACAGTTCCCAGTTTACAAGTTATGTTATCTTTTTGCACCTTAACAGAGTGGAATTACCCGGCTATAAACAGTCTTGGATCATGGCATATGCAAACATCAAAATTAAAAGTATTACTTGAACCTTGTACAGCTCTAGGCAAGTGCACTTCTTTCCAATGAAAACTTGCTCAAATGTCAAGTTTATCTTTTCCTGCTTTGATTATTGCAATACACTTTATTTGCATGGCTCTACAGGAGCACATGAGATGCTTTAGGCCATTCCAAACTTGGCAGAAAGTGGGGCAGTTCTCTTCATGCAGTATCTCTAAACATGTTTTACGGGTGCTCAGCATTGGCTTTTCAGGGATTTTTTTCTGGATTTTGATTGGTACATTGTTCTAAGAATGGTAGATGCAGATTGTCTAATCCCTGTCTGTTGGAGAGAATTCTTTTTTCTCTGAGCTGTCACAGCATGTGTGTTTCTATCATTCTTCATGAAAGCAACTTGGTGTCTTTTGTTTCTGAATCGAGAGCCCTCTAAGAGAAGAATCATGTTTGAGTATCTTAAGGTTGTATTTGTTCAGGTCTCTGATTATCTGGTGAAATACATGCAAGGAAATTAGTACTTTTAGTATAATAGGGAAAAAATGCTCAGTGTTAGATTGTTAAAACTAAATACTGTTTTCTTCATTATTAAGACAAATTAGGACAGTTAAAGTACTATACACAGGTAAGTTTGATGCAGCAAGAAACTTGTTAACTGTTTTGAACTTGGTTTATATAGTATCTTCCTCCTCATGTATGGCTTTAATATTTTCAGCTGTTTTTATCATCAAGAGCTCGGGGGTACAGCTATGTCTGCCAGACTGTGGATTATTCAGATAATGTTTACGAAGTTAGGGTGAGTATTTCTTTATTATTATTATTATTGGTGTGTGTGTGTGTGTGTGTGTGTAATATATAAGACTATGTTTTAAGTTTTGTCTGAAAATACAGTTTCCAAACTCGTGCTGTCAGCCATACTGTATCCCGTTACATTCTCAGACTGCTTCAGGCTTGATTAGGTTACACATAGCTGGGTTAATCACAAACATCAGTGTGTTTGCATTAACTTTCATCTGACTGCTGCAAGGAAGCGTAGCCTTAAAGATACCATCCCTGGCTTCAGCCCCAGTTGCATGAGCCAGGATAAATTTTGTGTGCGTGCTTTGGTTGCCAGCCTATGCTGCAGTTTATGATGCAGTGTAACCACAGTAAAGGTGTAGTTCTAGATCAAAGCAGGTAAGATTTGTCAGCACATACTGTGGTTGCACTTCACTGATACTGGTGAGGCAACTTTTTGTCTTCTTTATTGTGTTTGGCTTCATGAACTCTTGCTAGCTTCTGGCAAATGTTTTATCAGTACATTTTGTTGCAGAAGCTTAGATTTCAAATGCGTGTATTTTGGAAAGCATTCAAATTAAAATCAAAGTGTGGATGCTTGTTAGCTTAAGTAATTCTGTTGACTAGCTCATGTGTTAAGCCTTATCTTCCAGCAGAGCTGACTCTTGAGAATCTTGCAGCTGTCATTGCAAGTTTCATCCACTACAGATTATAACATGTTCCTAAAAATGCAATGGAAGCGCGTTGTGATCTGAGTACCTTGGATGGCTATAACACATCTTGAAAAAAATGTTTCAACAAAATGACTGTTCATGGGTACTCAAACACCTGTGTAAGGGGCAGGAGTGGTAGTGAGAAAGACAACTTGGTGTCTTAAAACTTCTGTATAACGGCTGATATTGAAGACAGGCTGTACAGATATGAGACCTGATCAACAGAATTATCTTCTAATTTGTTTATTATGAGGAGCAAAGGATTATTAAATAATGAAGACAAAATGACCAGTACAATATATTAATTGCCTATGGTATGTGTGGCCAAGATTCTTTTTATTTCTCAGCTTTTTAAGATTTTGCAACTTTGTGGATTTGCATAAACTTTATTTCTAAACTTCTAGGTTGTAATATGCTCAATTTGCAGTGGTGAGTTGGGAAAAACGCTGAGTTTTCTGAAGTGTTTCAGTAGTTGCTTAATCTGCTGTTGGGCAAGATAGCAGCATCTTGTCATATCATAATCTCGTAGTTCTGAGTAAATTCTCAATTTAAGGCAATAAGCAGTGAGTAGAAAACTATACTTCTACAATTGTACTGAATTTAACCAAGGAGTCTAAAGTAAGCATCTGGCCAACTTCTCAGAGTATCATGCTTTATTACAGAGGCTGGGAAGCTGGAACAAATACTGTCAAACTAATTGCATGTGGCAGGCAATCTGAATGGAAATTTAGAAGTCCTGATATCTTCTCTGTATCTTTATCATTTCTGGATAAAGTGCAAATAGGAAGTCGCCATGTAGTGGCCTGCTCAAAGGACCTTTTTTTGCCTACAGGGAGTCCAGAGAGCTGGTTAGCGGTTCCAAAGCAAAGATTTGGCAGTCTTGGATGACAGAGGGATGTTTTCCTTCTTCTCTCCAAACCACTTTTGTCTTAAGACAAATAACCAGAGGTTATTTCAAGGGAGCAGTGTAAGACAGGACATGTGGTGGCACTTGCCCCGTGGAGTGCAGTGCCAGCAATCCACAGCTTACAGACCTCCTGAGGCAGAGATAGTCTCTTTGTTTCCCTGATTCTTCAGGGGGTGTGCTTCCATGAATTAGTCTGTATGTTTTCTTTAACTTTACCAGGCTTCTGACATCCACTGACAGTTAATTCTTCAGTTAGTTTACACATAGTGTGAAGAAGTTGGTCCACTACTTAGTGTTTTGAACCTCTATCTATACTGTAATCTCATCTGAGTTCGACTGGCTCTTGTCCTACAAGAGGAAGTGGGCAACTGGAGCTAGCAGGGGATGGAAACTAGACTTCAAAAGTGCAGAAATATCTTCTGGATATAGTGGATAGCCATCTTACTGTGCTGGTGGGTTGTTGAGGACTGTGTTTCATGATTTGTTTTTTTAAAAAAACAGCATTCAAGAAAAAAATGGGGAAAAATCCTCAACAGGGGCTTTTGATGGAGCTGCATCTTAGAGGAATATTTTGGTTATAATTTCAGAGTAAATAAAAGCAAAAAGGTTTGATGTAGCTCACTCTGAAAGTAATGCCTCCTATTTATTTCCTATTTATGAAAATACACCAAGTACAAAGAGCAAGATAACACCATTTGATAGAGCACGTTCTCAGCTACAAAGCACTGAATGTCAATATATTCACCACAATTAGCTCTGCATTTTTGCCAGCGATGAACGGGATCCTGCATACCCATACCATGCTCATAAACATATGCACCAGCAAAGGTGACCCACTGTTTCACAGCTGCTATGATGACGTCATTGCTAGGAAAATGCTGTGCATACAGTCAATCTTTCATCAGCCCAAAGAGATTTAACTCAGAAGGTATCAAATATGGACTATGTGGTGGGGGTGATAAAACAGTCCAGCCAAGTTTGGCAGTGTGCTCCATGGTCTTCGAACTGATATAGAGCCTGGCATTATTGTGTTGCAAGGGAAAGGTTGTCTTCTCTGACCTGACACTGGATGTTTGAGCCTTCAGCTTAGTCAGCATTGCAACGTAGCAGTCAGAGTTGATGGTTTGTCCATATTTTGGGAAATCCAGAAAGATCATCCCTTTCCTATCCCAAAAGACAGTGCACATCGTTTTACCCATGGGGGGCTATGTCTTGAACTTTTCCTTCAATGGGGAATTCATGTGTTGCCACTCTGTGAACTGCAGTTTTGATCCAGCTGGTAGTGGTGACACCGTTTCTCGTCCCTGTTAATGACAGTGATTCAGGAAACCATCACCTTCAGCCTAATATTTGTTCAGTAGGTCCTGACAGACTTGCATATAGTATTCTTTCTGTTCCTGTGTGAGCGTTTGTGGGACTCACCTGGCATAAACTTTGTCACCATTGTTTCCAAGGCATTGAAGTCAATATTAAGCTCAGTGTACAATTCTCTGTTTGTAATCTACTGATCTGCACAGATGAGCTGATGGAGACGTGGTATGATATTTCATGGTATGACAGCTCTGTATGGCCATCCAGAACATGGTTTGTCTTTCATGTTACCACTGCTGAAATGCACCATCTACTGCCTCACTTTGCTAACCTCCACTGTTTCATCTCTATAAACGTTCAGTGAATGGGTGTCATTTTTTCTTCATGGAGAAATTCAATGGTACTCATTTGCTTCATATGCAAATTCCATGTCAGATGCCATTCTGTCAGAGTGCCCCTCTGCTGCCATCTGTTGCACAGCAACAAAACGTAATGGAATATTGGCGAAAAGGCTCAACCTCTACTGCCATCCCACCAACACTTGCCTCTGACATCGTGGCTCAACGTAATAACATAGGAGACATTAATTTCAGAGCAGCCCTTGTAAATCCAGGCAAGGAGTTCTCCTTTAGAAGCTCCAGTATTTGATGTAAAGGATTTCGTAATTCGGTGTGAATTAAGATGTTTTAGTGTCTGTGAATAGTCACTTGCACCCTCTGCTTATGCATGCGTGTTCTTGTTTTGCAGAACAGGTTGATATCTTCTATTGGTATTTCTGGAGAGTTGAGAATTAAAAGTCAGAATCTGCAGTGAATTCTGCAGTGAATTAGTTTTTAGTTTTAAGTGTGCTGATTGTAATCGCAATGATGAGTTGTGGTTGTAACTGTAATCTGCTTGCTTTTACTTGCGTTCTTTAAATGAGTCTACAGATTGAATAGTTTCCTCTAAATTTCTGTGAAAAGAGAACTTCAATTTTAATAAAATAAGCCCCGTGGTTCTATAAATAAAATTCTATAAATGAAGCAGAAGGAATATGACTTCTCTTTAAAAAAGAAGTCCTGTTCCCTACACCCCCTTTCTGGATGGCTGCCTCAACCTCAAACGAGAAAAGAGGGTTCAGGAGCAGAGTTCCATGTTAAAACAGCCCTCTGTTCAAAAACCCTGCAGCAAGCAGAGTTCATAGGATTGGACCTCTTGTTGACTCCCTTAATCCTAGGCTATAGTGTAATCTTTTGTGCCATCTGGTGTTTTAATAGATTTACATTTGATGCATCTGAAAACTGACAGAAATTGTATGGTCATAAATAGTATTATTCATTACAGGAGTACATCTGTTTTAGTGCATATTTTTCTCTTAAGCTATATCTTTCTTTCATGCTATGTCCAAAGAAAGACTATGGATTAGGTCATAACTTTTGATGCTTTACAGGAAAAGTTTTACAGTAACCATCCACTCCTTAAATAGCTTACATGTCGGTGTATTGTTCTACTTTCCACCTTCTGTCACTGATAGCTTGCATGTGTTTAGGGAACAAATGTAACATCCGTTTGATTTTTTTCTGCATTTGTAAGCTAATGATCAAAATGCCTTGATAAAACTTTGGGAGCTCTGAGATTAGATCAATACCTGAAACCTGTCCATTGTAAGAATAAATAGTAGTAAAACCTCAGAATGGAAAGCAGGAGGACAAAAAAAAGAGCTTTCAGGCAAAAAATCCATATAAACATAATAATCAGCAGTTATTATCCTGTGGAGAAAAGGAGGCTATTTTTATTCTTAAGTAATGGGAAGCATTTTGATAAAAAGTTAAGCCGACTTCGATCCACGTGCTGTAATTGCTTTCTCTGCAAGACAGTTAGAATTAAAAAGAGGAGAAATAAAGTGCTAAATGACTTTCCAGAAACATCCTGGGCATAAAGTAGTTTAATGTTGGATTTTTCTCATACATTTTGCTGTATGTCATGCAGTAAATTTACCAGTTGTTCCACTGTTTCTTTAACAAAATGCACAGCAGCTTTGAGCTTTTCAGGCAGTTTGCTTGTAGCTGACCTATTGATTCTTTGCAGTTTTCTCAGAAGGCAGCACTTCCAACGAGTGTGAGTGCTGGTCTGTCCATGGATACAGTCCAAAGTGTTTACTGTCAACTCATGAGATGAAAAGATGTTTATCTTAATTTATTTAAAAGATGCAGCTTTAGCAAAGATCTGTAAAAGATGCTGTGCTGTAATGCTAATCCATGGGTGTGAGACAAAGCCTTGATGTGGGTGTTGTTGTACACATGCCTATTTGTCCCAGAGGCAGAACTGTACTGGGTATTGGGTAACATGTATTGATAGTTCTTGCGACTTGCATGCATGTCTGGGAGCTCCACTATCTGTGGGCGTCCTTTCTCTCTCATCAAGCATCTCTTCAACTTTGCCATGTATCTTTTGATACAAAATTGATACAACATTTGTGTCTTCTTCCTGAGATCTGAGCTGTACTGGGTGTGCTAGGGAGAAGGGTGTAGAGTAACAGTTACACGGAAGTCTGCAGTTTGGCATCGGTAAGTTGTGCAGTCCCTTTGGGAAACTGCAGTCTGCAATGCAGAACTGCGGCACTCTTCTGCCTTCTTTTTTTTTTTTTTGGCTTCTGCTGTAATTTCTTAAAATGTTCCCAGTCCACTTATGGTTGTGACAAGCTTATTCTGAGGAGAGATATATTTCTTTCTGGCTCTTTTGGAGACATGAAGGAAAACAGCAGACAGGGCTGTATCGTTCATGTTTCTGTGATTGTTCTCTGCTGCTCATTCTTCCAGTTTCTATTGTCTCACTCAGCCATACTCTTAAATATCCCCATCCGGGAAGCTGCTGCCCTCTTATTAATTTTTTTCTTTATCTATCTTCCCTGGGGACTGAGTGGGTGGTGGAGTTATTTCACACGTTAAGGTAAGAAAGCGTGATTTGCCTTCAGATGAGTCCTGAAAAATGATGTACACTTCTTGCAAATAGGTGTGTTATGACATTGCCTGCTTTTCTTGCAGGTGGTGTCATTTCCATCTTTTTTGTTTGTTTGTTTGTTTATTTTGAAATTCTATTTATGAGTCACCATCTGGGATACATTCTGGTCCCACCCTTGCATATCAAACTAGTCGACTTGCAGTGCCAGGAGCTACAGTCACTGCTATGCTTCATGATCTGGAAGGGATCCCCACAAACAATGTACTCCAACATCACTGTATTAGCAAATTACTACACAGAACTTCTGTGCTAAACCTGGTATAGCAGTATTCTGGTTTCAACAGGAGGCCGTGTTCATGTTTTATCTGCTGCAATTGGTGGACTGAGAGTAGGGGAAGTTTAGGTGTGCTACACTACTGTATTGGATAGATGGGTTATATGTGTGTCTTGTGTGACTGCCATGATCTCATTTCTTCCATTCCCTGAATGGAATACAGCCACTAGGGGAATGTTGATTTCCAAAGAGTGTTATTGAATAGACCAGAAGAAACTAAGTAGAATATTTCCCTAACAGATGTGAAATCTTTACCTCAGCCTAGCTTGTTGAATGATTTGGTGTCCTCCCATCCATGTGCTTGTGATACTGAAAAACTTAATATGAAGTTTCAGCCTTTGCAGCTCATTTCACCATGAATTTTCAGCCTCATTGTTCTGACTGTATCAGTGTTGCTCTGTAAGTATGGGAAGCTCTGGTAGTCTCCCACAAAGCTCAAGATTCAGAATGAGGACACAAACTCCTTGGGTGAACTGTTCAGAGACAGTAATGTTATTAGTACTTTTAGTTCTTTTTTGTGGTAATGATTTGTGAGCAGTGCACTCAGAATACTACTACTACATCCAGAGTAGATGAATGGAGTATTGGTTTTGTTCTTACTTGTACTTTCAGATGTTTGATGATTCCACAGCAACACTTTCCAGGATTTGGGGAGATGGAAGAGATGTTCTTCTCTTGCATTAGATAGCTGGAGATAATTTAATTCCATTCAAACTGTAAATTGAAACCACTGATTTATTTATTTATTTTCTCATTACAGATAGCTGCTGCTTTATGGTGGTATTATGTCTCGAAAGGAATTGAATACCTAGATACAGTGTTCTTCATCCTGAGGAAGAAATTCAACCAAATTAGTTTTCTTCATGTCTATCACCATTTCACCATGTTCACTTTGTGGTGGATTGGTATTAAGTGGGTTGCAGGTGGACAAGGTGAGTTTCCATCCTTCCATATTTTGAGTGGACGTATAACAGAATTATTGTTGTTTATAATCAATGGAAAAAAGTTCTACTGGACTTAGGATTATTATGTAGAAGGCTGTTTAAATAGCATTGAAGAAGTGCAGTAACTTTAATGTGCATTATCTTCCTCTGTGGGAAATGTGGGGGAGGAAAAGATACCAGGGCCCATAGTCTAATGAATTGCAAAACTTCTTTTTTTTTCCTCGTGGGCATCAACTGCAAGCATGAAGTTCTGTTTTCAAAACTGTCTTTGTTCTGTATGAAATGGAAAGATGAATGTGTCTTGCCTAACTTCGATTTTTGCAGATACAAAGAACTGCAAAATCTAATTATGAACAACAATCTGTGTGCAAATGTAATGAAGTTAACAGAGATGTTATTTTGTCATTATGTCTGAGTTTGGGGTTTGCTATCTTTTTGTAAAAAGAGACATATAAAGTTCTGAAACCTTCCCTTGAAGGTGAGCCAATAAATCCATCAATTAACTTTTAAAACCTATTCATGACACAAGTCTATATTTCATTATCAGCCTTTTTTTTGTCCTTACTTTCTAAGACCTACGTCAATGAATTTTATTCCATTGTTCCTGCCACATCCTCTTTCCTAAATTGTACCTTCTTTGACATTGTTTTTGTTGTGAGTTATTTTTGTTGTTGTTTGTCTCAAATTATATGCTCTACAGAGCTGATCGTTTGGGGAAAATACCCAATTCTGTTAGTAATGTGCTTTTATGCTTAAGATGCTTAGAATAACATACAGTAAACTCCAAACGTAACTTTTTGTCAAACCACCCTAAAACTTTATGGCTCTCATTTACTATAAATATCTCATGCTTGTAGATGAGATATTGTATGCCTAGATAGAGCTGTTATATATTATCTAACATTTAGATTATCCTAGTAGTTTGCCACAGGTGGGTATCCAAGTTGTCTGATTTCAGCAGCTACTCTTTGCATTATCTTGATCTTATACATCACCTTCCTTTTTAGCCTCTCTGGTAGAGTAACAAGACCTGAACATGATCTAGTTTGTCACTGTTAAATGCAAAGAGCAAAGAGATCTTAACGCAAACATAAACACTGATCTTTGTTTCCAGCATGGATCATCCTGGAAAAAGTACTATACTTTTATTTAAGAATGCTGGATTTTGTAAGTCATAAACAAAAAAAACAGAGATGAGCTATCTAAACAAACTAATTTTGCAATTCCCTTAAGCGTCTTACAGCCACAAGTGAGGTTTTGCTTTGCGTTGTTTTTTGGCCTCTTTATTCAAACTTCCATGTGGGTTTCTTGATGTCTTGCTGAGATGTTAACTTTACAATTTCATTACAGCTTAACAAACTGAAGTTCAGATGCAACTGCTTTATACTTTACACTGTCAAATACTGCTTTTAATAGCTCCCTTAGCAAAGCCATTGCATTTACACTACAGTAACTAACATGTAATGCATGACTTCAATCTATTCAACAAAAACATTATAAAAAGCTTTTGCTTAAGTAATTCCATGAGAGCAGTGACACCTACTTGCACAAACAGCTATTTCAGTGCATGTCATCAGTGAGGTCTGCACTACACAACCGAATGTTTCAAAGATGGAAGTCCAGCATGCCCTGTGCTTTGTGATGCTTACTGTTGTGTGAATAATACTAGAATAGATGCTTTTTTTTTTTTTTAATTACATGGAAATCTTCCTTCTGTTTCTGGACAGCTTTTTTTGGAGCTCAGATGAATTCATTTATTCATGTTATTATGTACATGTATTACGGATTAGCTGCCTGTGGCCCTAAAGTTCAGAAATATCTGTGGTGGAAACGGTACTTGACTATATTGCAGTTGGTAAGTAAAATTTCTCCATTCGTTTGAGGAGCTATTGCCTCTGAGTAGATTTGCTTCTGTACAGCTTTGGAACAGGTGCTGTCCCTATCTAAAGTTCTTAGCTGTCCTATACTCACAAGTCTAGTTAGAAATGATTATATTCTTAAATGTAATTAAGCAGTTAAAGTAATTGCTTAAGTATACAACCGTTGTTGTGTGAAGAAGTCTTCTTAAATACTTATTACTAATCATGGGCATTTTTAAGCTCTAAGAGGTTTTTATTTTCAACAAACAATGACTTATTTATTAATGGCATAATAAGGGTCATTATGAGATTGGAAAAGGGCTAAAGATGACTTCACAACTCAACCTCAGACTGGCATTAACAACTCTCCTCAACACTCATATCTGCAAGCAGTCAGTTACCAAGCATGTGGTTATCCTATTCTGAGTACCATGAAATCACCACTGTGTTTTAAGGAAAAATCTAAAGGAATATCTATTACAATTGAATATATCTCTGTATGTTTTTATTTATTTGTTTCTTTGTTTATTTGAGTTTTCAAATCCACTTTAGAGCTAGTAGGTTGCATATTGTGACAGCCAAATACAGTTTCCCCCTGCTTCACTGTTTCTCAGTTTTCATGAGTTAATACATTAGCATGCACGGGTGCAGACCTACAAAATATATCCAAACCTTTTTGATTACGTGCTTTCTGTCTTTCAGGTGCAGTTCCATGTGACTATTGGCCACACAGCATTGTCTATTTATATTGATTGTCCTTTTCCTAAATGGATGCACTGGGGTGTAATTTTCTATGCTATCACCTTCATTTTCTTGTTTGGTAACTTCTACTATCGGACATATAAGCTGCCCAAGGAACCTGTAAAGAATGGCAAAATAGCAAATGGTGCTGTTGCAAATGGAGTAAGCAAACCAGAAAATAATCCAGTGGTGGAAAATGGAAAAAAGCAGAAAAAGGGAAAAGCAAAAGGAGAGTAACTTGATCCTGGCCTTAACCATTGTTGGCTGTGAGGAACCTACAGTTTGGTTTATAAAAGGAAGAAAAAAACACTATCTGTACCAATTAACCTTAGGTTATTGAAGAGCTAGAACACAGATATTTTCATTATTTATGAAGATTGTTTTAAGAACAAAACTTAAAGTTGAATTTCTATTGTAATTATGTAATTATCATGCATATGATCTCTGTGTAAACTTGTAGACTGCTGGTGTTGGTGAATGTAAGGAAGAATTGCAGTTAATTCTATGTTTAGCAGTCCAAAAGTTAAAACTACCATTGATGCAACCAGCTTTGTTGGCACCCACATTTCTCTGGGGAAGGGAGGGGGGAAGGAAGTAGCGTTTGAATACTTGTGTTTTCTTTCCAGAAATTTATTAAATTTCAATTTACAATGTATTATCTAACCAGAACGCGCAACTTTTCTTGTCCTCCTTGAAGAGTATCTTCAGAAACATCATGTTTATGTATTGTCAGAACAGTGTTTGACTTTTCAGAAATTACTTGATTTAATTTAGTGTCTGTTACAGGTTTATTTTGGTTGTTTTTTTTGGTTTTTTTTTTAATTTGATTTTTTTTTTTTATTTTGTTTTTGTTTTTTCCTTGTGTGGAAATATACCTACCTCTTCATCTGCTGAAAAGAATATTGAGCATTAAATAACTGATTTCTGAAATACAGAGTCTTCTAATATAAATATCCATTAACATAATTGAGGAGGAAGTTTTTCCTTCGGAGTAAAAGAGATTTTATTTCCAGGTATTTTGGGTCAAATCATCAATATTTTCATTTAATGTGAACTCAAGTTTTGGAGTGGTGTGCTTGGCATGGCTAAGTGAAGAAAACATTTTAAGAATTTATAAATATGAGACGGTCATTGTGTGAAGCAAGCAATTTAAACAGGCCTGTGGCTTTGTTATCTGTGACCTACATTAACCCTGTGGTGCTGACTGACATTGAAACTTGTAAGATAACATTATGATGGAGAGAAAACAACATTGACGTCTGTTCAAAAGTACAGTGTGTAGTGTCATGCTAACAACAGGACAGGTACTTTACTGGGGGAAAGAGAATTTAATTATAAAGTTCCAAATACAGCAAACACAATGCTGAAAATGCTGCTACTGTTGGATGCCCATCGATACTCAATTGATGATTTGCCTGCTAGACACTTGCAGGCAAAATATTGCTGGCAGTCAGGCCACCATTTTAATGTGAATATCAGAGTTGGGCTTCTGAAAATCTGGTCCCTAAATATTCTTGGTTCTTCTCAACCTGATTGACAAAGTGATTCTGCTAATCAGATTTTAGTCATAACTGCTACTACAAGCCTCTTTTAGTAGCTTTTCTTCTTACTTGATGCATTAATGGACTTCTTCCTACTCCTTTTGTGAAGTAAACATGGATACGAGTTAATTCCCTTCCACACAAAATGAAAATTTTGACAGAGTTTTTGTGTTGCTGCAGATGTGGTGAGTATAATGCAAGTGGAGTTAGAAACCACATGCTGAACTCTCAGGGTCCTTATTCATCACTGCAGGAGCTGCACTGTTGCTGTTGAAATGCGCTTTGCCCAGCTCTGTCCAGAAACACTCATTGTCAGTGATGAACTTACATGGAGGAAGTGGTGACGTTATTGAGGGACAGAAGAACACACAGCTCTAGGTATAGAGAGTTACACATGTGGCACACATTTATGCATCTCGAATACCCATTTTGTCTGTTGTGACCTATTTTGCACAATATGGACGTTTTTTCTGTCCTGGGTTTGTAGCTTGTCACTTTGATGAAAACTATCTAAGCCTAAAAAATGGGTTGTAGGAAAAAAAGGGCTGGTTATGATCTGTTCTACTGGGAAATAATTCCTGGTGCTGGAGTTCATTCGACTGCCAGAGTGGTTCGTCAGTAATATCCACTGCTGTGGACTTTATGGCAGAATATAGGATTCGGAGAGAATGCTCTGCTGAGCTGTAACGTGACCATTTGTTTTCCTACGTGTTATGTCTCATGATTTTTCTTCCAGCCTTTGTAATGATGCTTTTATTTTATATATTTTTTTTTCATTTCTATGATTCTTATGCATTTATGCAATATGGCATGAGGAAGAGGGAACATGCTCTATTCTTCTTTCTTGCACAGATGCCACTACAAGCCAAAAAGCTGGCTGGCTCTGGAATGGCTAACGGAGCAAATAACTACAAAGCAAGTTGGACAGCAGATTTACAGCACACCTGCCATTCCAGGTTAATGGCTGGTGTGGGTACTCTCACCCTAGTGTTAATTCCAGGTAGCTTACTCCACTTTGATAAAGAGTAGCTTCTTTCTGTTTGATATGGGATGTGGGCAGCTAACCATTAAGTTTGTATCATTCCTTGTCTTGTATTAAATTGGTTGTTTACTTTGTCTTTCTTTCTGTAAGCCAGATTGGATAACCTGATAGGTTTAATGTGATCTGGCTCCAAAAAGAGCATACCGAGAAATATTGTAGTACAAGTTTGACTACATTTGCTACACTTCATAAAGTAAGAATTGTGTCTTGCATGTTGGCAAATACTTAAAAGAGTTGAAAGTCGAATCCTCTCTTCCCCTCAGCGCACATGGAATCCTGCCCTCAAATTCTGGGTTGTTTGATACAAAAAAAAAAAAAAAGAGAGAGACAGACAATGCTTTGGGAGAATGCATGCATAGATGCACATCATGTCTGGACACGTGAATAAAACCAGCTTGAGAGATTGGCAGTTCTATGAGGAAAAAAAATCACACTGAGTTTCTGCAATGCTGCTGTTTTGAGTCCTTCTCCTGCTACACTGTTTCTGACTATGCAGATTTCTCTTTCTCAAGATTTGTATATGTGAGATACTGCCAGTTCTGCTGAAGTCATCACTTAGTCCAAGGCTCCACAGAATTTTGCCACAAAAGTATGTGTATGTGTAAAAATGTTTCTGCTGTACACAGAATTAAAATTGAAATTATAATTATTTGCTAACAGTTTCAAAACTCTTGGACCAACCATACAATTATTTGATGCCATATAAGTGATACCAATTGACTTATCCTCATCTCTAGTGGTGACAGTTGTTGGATTCTTTTAGCACTTTGCACAGTGTACAAAAATAAAACAAATTCTGCGTGTATACACATACACACACATATAGTATGTGTGCATACATGTGTGTATCTATGTATGTATACATGAGTTCTTAGCAGGTTCTTTCAGAGTGTGAAGTAAATTATATTTCTTTGGCGTGAGGTTGGCAGGAACTAATAGCATAGTTCCTACAACTCAAGCACTTAAATGAAGCAATTTTCATTGATCTATAGATCCAATATCAGTCTTATATACATGGATAGTATTTGTCAGTCATTTTAGATGTAGAGTGGTGGACAAGCCAGAGCTGTTTCTCCCAGCGTAATAAATTGAGGTAGCAATTCCTCAGAGGAGCTGAGGAATGATGCTGTCTTCTAGTGGGAAGCAGTGTGAGTAATCTGCTCCAGGTAAGTCTCTGAAGTCATTGCAATCACATACTTTAAGAGAACCCTTAATAAATAAATAAAAGTTTATCTACAGATTCAAAAGCATGGGCTATTTGAGTATATGACCATTACCAGATCAAGAGGAAAAGATGAAGGCAAAATAAAAATACTGCACATTTTTGGGGGGTTAATCTTGTTTCTCTAGAGTAAGCATTTGACATCCAGATGTGGGGGAGACAGGTAAGAAAAGAGTAAAAAACTGCTGTGCTCAAAGAACTCCCTCTTAAAAATGTTTTTGAGCACACTTGCTGTCCTTTAAAAACTTGAGAAAAATTGTTCATGGTACATAAAATTAAGCCTCACATCACGTTAGCATGGTATCAGTCATCATGTGTAAGCAGTACTTGGATCAGTTTCACTTGAAATTGAAGAGAATGGGGAGGTCATGAAGAATCTGGATAGTTCACTCTGCTTGAAGCACGGGTTATGATATTTTGGCACTTGGAGCAAGTCACCACCATGACATTCAGTGTGTTGTGCTCTGACAGGTCTCCCTTTTGCTAGTGTAAGCAGTCGGAGCTCTGGAAATCAGGGTGGCTCCTGTTTACATCACCAGAGTGTGTTTAACCCTAAAGAACAGAAAAAAAAAATACTTGCTTTCTGCCAATATCCCATGAGGATGAGGGAAATATATGGGTCAGAATGCTGCTTTTGCATAAGGTGTTAATGCTTTTGTAAACAAGAAAAATAAACATTACTTTTTTTTTCATGCTGTCTGGAGTTTGATTTAATACATCCCCCAGAACATTCTGTCCCGTCTTTAAATTACATGCTGATTTCAAAGCTTTGCATTGATGGTATCTGTCAGATAGCCCAAAGGTTCAAGGGATGTTTTTCTGATACATCTTTTCTCACTTGAAGTTTGGAGATTCTCTGCTGTTAGATGTCTCCCTGAAAGGATAGCATACTGGCTCTGAAAACAGGATGTCCACTTATCCTACGTGTCTCCTGGGGTATATTCTGTCTTTGCAGCACATGTATCAGCTTCAGTTGTGGTCCATGTGTTCTTTCCAGTCAGGGAGAAACAGGAGGTTGGGTGAAAGGCGTTTCTCTTATGCTCCCAGCATCATGCAGTGCTGGGCTCCTGCTCTGGGTGTGCAGGAGAGGGGGGGAACAATCAGCATGGTGCAAGGTGGGTGCAACACCTGGACACATAAGCATAATGGTTCTTTCTGTAAAGTCCCAGTCAGTCTTACATCTGATTTAAGAAGGTGGTGGTAAGTGAAAATGCACTCAATGTAAGGCTACCAGTTCTTTGGTCTTAGACGTGTTAACACATGGGGTAAAACAGAAAGCCATGTAGTTTAGCTTTTGCTGGATGCTGTGCTGTGCTACTGTCGGGTCTCTCATCCCACAGACTATCAAGCACTTCTGACAGGAGATATAACTCACAAGTACATGTTTCTGTGTACGACAAGTTCCTTCACAGCTCATCCCTAACTACCATCTCTGTAAGCAAGTTTGTAATATTGAGTTGCACCCGTGTTGCGCTCCTGGCACCAGAATGCAAATAGACACTGTGTGCCAGGCAGTGGAGAATCAAGTCTGCCATCATAGCAGAATGTGGTGTGGTCAATTATTTCTTACATCATTTGCAATTGTTGCTTCAACTCACTGCTTGCATCCTCCTAGAAAATGCACACAGCACACAGAGCAGGACTTGTTCATTAGGTGATTAACATACGCTGATAGTAACACTCTATCCAGGTATCTTTCCCATAGTATTTCTTCCCTACTACCAATTAATATAAACATATGATGTGATTCAGTTAGAGAAATCAGATGACTCAAAAGAATAGAATGGACCTCTTGTTTTTCATGTTAGGTTTTTTTTTACAGCATCGTTTGCTTCTTTGAGGACATTTTGGTAGGGGAAGGATTGCATTACCTGCTTGCTTGCTCAGCTCCTGTCATCAGAATGATGACAGCAGTCCTGGATGCAAACCAAGCACTTTCTCCAAGGCACTTCTGATGGCAGTGCTTTCTGTCTTTGGACCAGTGCCTTCCTCTGCCTTTTCATGTGTAAGATTTTGAAGTATCCCCAGTGAACACATACGTACAGACACCCAGCGATTGCCTCATATGCCAGAGATGTCCCATTGCGATTGATTATCAAGATGGTTGCAAATGGTATCTATGGGCAAGATTGCCACTGCGTCCGTCACTGTGGTGTCAGTTGTCTAGGGCCTGACTGAGGCATGCTGACTGGATGGTGTTAAAACAGCAGTTCTTGACAGATAAAGAGGATATTTGAAGAAAAAGAGCAATTTGACTTTTGGTTCAGTATGTGGGAACTGATAGAACCTGGTACGGAGTCACTGCTGCCTGTTAAATCCTGATCAAGCAGGTTTCAGTCTGATGAATGGAAGGAAATCTTTGGTTCTTTAAGTTGCTCAAAGATGTGCTTTGCCTGTCCTTACCTTTGGAGTGTATTGGTCAGAGGAAACGAGACCAGTGTCAACATTTAAGTCAAAGACTTTAGGGAGTCAAAAGCCTGGGGCTGTGCAGTGCTGGCTCCTCTGGTTCTTGCCTTTGCCTCCAGGTTCTAAAGGAGTTTAACTACTGTTGTACAGCTGTTGTCTAGCTGTTGCTGCCATACATCTATTATTCATGGACATCGTAGAAGCATACGAGTAACGTATTTATGCATAACTAGATTCTGAAGTACTTAAAAAAAATGCTTTCTGTCTTACATTGCAACAAACAGAAGGGGAGCCTGCAGTCTCCAACCACAAGTGCTTGTAGTGGAACCATGGCAAGTAGTAATTACTCTGGAGCCTCTGATCAATAGCCTTTTGCAGAGCTCCCAGGTAGCTTCTTACAGCAATGCAGTGCTTAGTGAAGATGAAAATTGCAATGTAACTGCTTAAAGTAGTACTTGTAGGGCTCCTTTTGCCTACTTCCTTCTCTGTATGTGTCTTCAGATCAGACACATGCTTACTGAAGTTATTCCCAAGTGAGGAGGGCTTCACAGCAGGATCTTATGGTAGTTGTGAGTGAGACGATCAGGGCCAGGATAAGTATTTGGGCCTAAGAGGAATTTTGTTCCAGTTTTACTCACCCTCAGGGAGTGAGGCTTTATGTAGCTCTCTTTTTCCCCCTTAGGTGTCTTGAAGCCATGTGTGCTCCTGCACTGTTGCTGCATGGCTGCATCTTCTTGGGTCAAGGGCGCTGTGTGTGTTCAGGAGCTGATTTTCTGCTGTGCTCTGTCACTGGGATGTTTGAGCTGACTTATCCACAGTCTGAAATGCCCCCCAGCAGCTGTGTGTTCATGTACAATGCTCTCAAAGCATCTCTGCAAAGCTGGATGTTCTAGTTATACCGAGATGTAGACTTTTTCACTATGCTGGAGTGATCAAATCTCATTATTTCCTCCTGCTCGAAATAATAAAAGTAATAATAAACTCCAACAAGAAACTCCAGTTTTGGATTCTGTGATACTGAGAATGTGTGTTGTGTACTCCTAACCTTGTGGCTGTGGGAGATGGACAGAACCCTGCATTATAATATCACTTTGTTAGAGACTTCATACTAAGCTATCCGCTTTTGTGATTAGAGTCTAATAAAAACTGAATTTCTATATAAATTTTTATTTCAAATTCAGGTAACAAATTCAAGTATTTTATTGCACAGATATCAGTTTTCATACTGAAATTCATGGTGTTTTGCTGCTTGCTTTCTAGGCAAGTTTCACTCCAGAGGGAATTCTCACTCGCTAAGAACACTCGATGGTGTTACAGCATTTTTAACAGTTCACTGACTGTGTAACCTACTTTGCAGGCTAAGAAGTTCAGAGAATAATAGAAAAATCAGTACAGAAAACTTTTATCTTTTTCTATACTGATTTTATTTAAAGCTTTTGCAATGATGAAATGATCACTTTGGTAAAACCCCAGGACAAGACGGGTGATATATTTTGAACTTCTACAGAGTTGACTGTGGCAGATTCCTTACTGAGGAAAAACCTGCTTCATGCAGCAGTGCACGCAGAGATATTTTTTCACTTGCTTTCTGACATTTTCAAGGTGATGGAGGTGATTGTTGTTTATTCTGCCCTTGTGAGGCCCCATCTTCAGAACTATGCCCAGGACTGGGCCCCGTCCAGAACAAGAAGGATAAGGAGCTGTTGGAGTGGGTCCAGAGGGGGGCATGGAGATGGTCAGAGAGCTGGAGCACCTCTGTTATAAGGAAAGGCTGAAGGAGCCACGCTTGTCGAACTTGGAGAGGATTCCGAGAAGACCTTATCGCAAACTTCCAGTATTTGAAGGGAGCTTGTAAGCAGGAGAAAGACCAACATTTGACACGGTCTAATAGTGATAGAACAAGGGGGAAAGTCTTTAATCTTTTTAGCTAGGAGAAATTTAAATTAGATATAAGGAGGAAGTTCTTTACTCAGGGGGCAGTGAGGCGCTGGCACAGCAGTCCAGAGAGCTGTGTGTGCCCCATCCCTGGAAGTACCCAAGGCCAGGTTGGATGGGCCCTTGGAAGCTGAGCTGGTGGGGGGCAGCCCTGCCCAAACAGGGTGTTGGAACTGGGTGAGTTTAAGGTCCCTTCCATCCCAAACCATTCTGTGATTCTATGATATGTTTCTATTATTTTATTAAATATGCTTCAGGCAGGAGTTTGCATGTGCAGTATTTTAATCTAACAAAAATGTTGCTGATGTTTACTGCACAACACATCTTGACACATGCTGCCTGTGAAGGGCTGAGTTATGGATGCACAAAGCAAGGATGATGAAAGTAATGCATCAGCTTGGCTGAAATAGGACTTGGGGCTCTGTTCTCACTTTAAGTGTTGGTGTAATAAGTTTGGCAGCACAGCACCTTAAGCTAATGGAATCCTTCTGTTGTTTGTTAGCAGGGAGCACAGCAGAGTGCTGTGCAGGACCTGTTCTGCTTAGCACAGCTCTGTTTGTAAGCCTGGTGCTGGACACAAAGGTTATGCAGCGAAACGGTTTAGGTCTGATAAGGGGGGTGTTCTGCATCTGAGCTCAGGATAAAAAACAGCTCTTCTGTGTGTCCTAAATCCTTGATTTAAATGAATGAATGAATGAATAAATAAATAAATAAATAAATAAATAAATGATGATGATAGTAAACAGTAAATAATTTTTTAAAAAACATCATATTCAGCACAGCTTTATCATCACTTCCTTCAGAACTGAGGAATAAGGTAAATTAAAAAATCCATGGGATGTGCTTACTGCTTGTTACTTGTTCTCTTTGTGCCCTCTGCTATTTGACTGGCAGAAGCAGTCGAAATAAGAACTGTCTCCATTGTTGCTTATTAATGCTCTTTATTTTAAGAAAGCCAGGACCTTGGGTTTTAAAGCCCCAGCTGTTACTCTTTATTGTACTGATAAAGTTGCCCTCATGGTTGCGGACAATGCTTTGGAAAGATGTTGATAATAGACTCGACCAAAGATGGGTGGTAAACTGTATTTCTTTTTTTTTTCTTTTTTTTCCCAGCCATTTACAATGCAGCCTGAATATTTGAGTCAGAATACAAGTTCTTGAGGCTGGAAATTCTGCAGCAAAGTAAACATTTTTCCTTAGCCCACAAATCCATAAGCCCACAAGCCCAGTAGAATCACCCTTGTGTCCAGTAGAAAGTATAAGTCCAGTAAAAAGATTATAGATCATAAAAACCTTTGATCTCAACCCCTCTTTAAATGATGGTGCGCTCACTGCTGATTTCGTCCTTA